ACTGCTTATTCCTCTGCACATTTTGATTTGTGTACTTCTTTTTGTTCTAATAAAAAAAATTGGCCTTTCAGTCATACAGCAGCTATTGCAGCTGGGAATAATGGTATTCCAGTGAGGATGCATGGCTATGAGTTTGGAAAAGCAAGCGGGATGGCTCCTCGTGCAAGGTAGATAGATAATTGATCCAGAAATTTGGTGGCTTTAAAGACATTTCTGTTCCTTTCTTCTAATTAAATGCTATCTTGTTTCAGGATTGCTGTTTACAAAGCTCTCTACCGGCTTTTTGGAGGCTTTGTTGCTGATGTGGTTGCTGCCATTGATCAGGTAAGCAAGAACTTAGCACACTACTAATCGGATGCATAAAATTGTACCAAATATATGAAACAATGATTTCTCCTGCTGAATTTGTTCTAGTTTCTTCATAGCTCTGCTTCTTTGTTCTGTTTTGAGAATCTTCACAAGTGAAATAATCTCTTAAACTGATTACTTCCATGAATATCTAATATTTGACACTGGCAAGATGTTTACTATTTTATCATCTAAACATGTATGCTTTTCTGAGCAGGCTGTTCATGATGGAGTAGATATTTTGAGTCTCTCGGTTGGTCCAAACAGTCCTCCAGCTACTACAAAGACAACATTCTTAAATCCATTTGATGCTACACTTCTTGGGGCTGTAAAAGCTGGTGTTTTTGTTGCTCAAGCTGCTGGAAATGGAGGTCCCTTTCCGAAAACTCTGGTTTCGTACAGCCCTTGGATAACTACTGTGGCTGCTGCAATTGATGATCGCAGATACAAAAATCATCTGACACTTGGAAATGGTAAAATTCTTGCCGGAATAGGATTATCCCGTAAGTTTCTCCTTTCTCTGATCTAAATATGTAGATCCACACAATAGTATCTTGTTTAGGAAGAGACTGTTAGTTTATTCTGAGTCTTTCTATTGTTTTCTTGATGGATCATTATGTTTTTGTGCAGCTTCTACTCGACCTCATTGTTCATACAAGATGGTCTCTGCAAATGATGTTCTGCTGGGTTCTTCTGGTATGAAATACAATCCGTCGGATTGCCAGAAGCCAGAAGTCTTGAACAAAAGATTAGTCGAAGGAAACATTCTGCTTTGTGGATATTCTTTCAACTTTGTTGCTGGTTCAGCTTCCATCAAGAAAGTTGCTGAAACTGCCAAGCATCTAGGCGCCGCTGGTTTCGTTCTTGTTGTCGAAAATGTTTCTCCAGGAACAAAATTCGATCCTGTTCCTTCTTGCATTCCTGGGATTCTGATTACAGATGTCTCTAAGTCAATGGTAATATAGTTTTGTTGCGTTCACTATACAGTTATTCCCTCCCTCATCTTTTCTTCAACTAGGAATGCCATTTTTTCTTCTCTAGGATTTGATTGATTACTACAATGTTACGACGTCAAGAGATTGGATGGGAAGGGTAAAGGACTTTAAAGCTGAAGGAAGCATCGGAGATGGTTTGGAACCCATCCTTCACAAATCCGCACCTGAAGTGGCTCTGTTTTCAGCTCGAGGACCCAACACTAAAGATTTCAGCTTTCAGGATGCTGATCTCCTCAAACCAGATATTCTTGCTCCCGGCTCTCTGATATGGTCTGCTTGGTCTGAAAATGGAACTGACGAGGCTAACTATGTCGGTAAGCATTTCCACAAATCTTGTCAGAATTATCCATAAGTACTCTAAAGCAAGAACCTAAAATGTTTAGTTTTCAACTATTGAGCAGGCGAAGGATTTGCACTAATTTCTGGCACAAGCATGGCTGCACCACACATTGCGGGTATAGCTGCTCTGGTGAAACAGAAGCATCCTCAATGGAGTCCAGCTGCTATCAAATCAGCTTTGATGACGACTTCAACAGTCATAGATCGAGCAGGAAGGCCTCTCCAAGCACAGCAATATTCTGAAACAGAGACAGTAACACTTGTTAAAGCAACTCCTTTTGATTATGGAAGTGGTCATGTCAATCCAAGCGCTGCTCTAGACCCTGGTCTCATCTTTGATGCAGGTAAATGCTCTTCTTACTTTATTGACATAAATTTCGGTTTTCCTTATTCCCTCGTCGATCTCTGGTCCGCTTATATGATTCATTGAATTTTCTTGAAGGTTATGAGGACTATATAGGGTTCTTGTGCACCACGCCGGGTATTGATGCTCATGAGATAACAAACTTCACAAACACTCCATGCAATTTCAAAATGGTTCATCCTTCAAACTTCAACACGCCATCCATAGCCATCTCTCATCTCGTGAGAACACAAACCGTAACCAGAAGAGTAACGAATGTTGCAGAAGAGGAAGAAACATACACAATTACATCGAGGATGGAGCCAGCCATTGCCATCGAAGTGAGTCCTCCTGCAATGACAGTTAGAGTGGGCGCCTCTAGAACCTTCTCGGTGACTCTAACCGTAAGATCAGTGACCGGAGCTTATAGCTTCGGAGAGGTTACATTGAAAGGAAGCCGAGGGCATAAAGTGACTCTCCCTGTGGTTGCTATGGGACAAAGGCGATGAAGAAACAAATATGAGATTTTGTAACATTATTATTGTTACTATTTTTGTAATATGCAGTAATAATAAGAAGGTAGTTATGTGTCTTGAGTTGAAAAGAATAACACAGTTTGTATAATTAGTTTATTTTTGTTTCTTTCTTTTAGAACTCTATTTTTCGAGATTATAGTAATATGATTAAATGATATACATATACATGCGTTAGCTCTGTTAATTACTGATTTCATAACAAAACATATGTTCCAAAAAAAATCCTCTGCTTTAGCTCTGTTATTACTCTAACCACCAATCTTTCTTGTTTCTTCCTAAAGTAATATTTTTTGGAAAAAATGTGATTTAAACGTTCTTTGCATGATTCTAACTCAATTCTAATCTTGAACTTAGTTACATGTAAAGATTATAATGAGTTTTGCGCAAAAAGAAAAACGAAGTTCTTATTAAAACAATGAAATGTTAAGAATCAAGAATCTCACAATCAGTCCTCTGGAAATAAACCTTCATTGTTCGAAGATTATAACCAACATTATAATTCTGCTGAGCCATGGCACCAATAACGCTCATATCATCAAACGTGTTCATAGTCATAGCCAAGCAAAAGCTATCTCCACTTTCACTGCTAACGAACAAACTCTCAACGTCTAACGCCAGCTCAGCGCCGCCGGCGAAATGGAACGTGACGACGGGAAAGCCGTAGAGATCAAGTTTAAGATTCCCTTCGTAGCAATGATTCGTGTATTGCTCCCAATCTTTAACGCGTCTGAGAACTTCTCCAAGAAGAAAATCGATTTCTTCAGAGAGAGTTTCATAAGCTTCTCTGGCTAGAATCGTTGGTGAACAGCCCGTGTCGATGACTGTTCCTCCTTTGGACCTATATCTCTGGAAGATTCCGGGTTCGATATCAAGAAGTTTCTCTCCTAAAGAGATTGCTTGCAGGTCAAGGTAGTAACGGTCTTGGAATATTTGTAAAGGTGTTGGATCGCCTTCGATTCTGGCGCCGTTTCCGAGGATTAGGAAGTTGTGAGGGTAAGTCGGATCGATAAGGCTGCCGAAGCAGTATGAGAATTTAGAGCCGAAATTGCGGGTTACTATGGAGAATGTACCAGGACCTAAACCGAGCACGCCGCTGTATTGAGTGAAACCGGAGTTGTCTTGTCCGCAACCGAAAACAATGTTTGGTTTAGAGATTAAGCCCTCGTCAGATGTTTGAAATGTGAGTTTTTCTTTAGCTAAAATGCCTCTTGTGTTAGAAAAGTCACGGTAGCGTAGGTGATATCGGCAGTTTCCAGTCTTTTCGTCGCGAAAGATTTGGGGCATGGCATGTGGTGCGGATTCACAGGAAGCGTTACGGTAAGTGGAAGATCTTGAAGGGTGGAAAAAAGGGATTGTTTGAGGGTAACATTTGCAGGGGAGACACTGGATCCAAGTTAGGTCACTACCTGTGTCTATGAGTAAGAGTTGTGGGACCGGTGGATCGCCGATAGAAATATTTGCAAGGAATGCTGCTGGATTCGGAATAGGAGTGACATGTGAGACGATATCCGCTATTTCCGTGGTCCACAAGTTATCTAGGCGAGAAGGCGCGGGGGTTGACTTGGAATGCAAGTAACCAGGTTTTATTTTTGGTGATTCTTTGGTTTTGATTGATTTTGTGTGTAGCCTTAGCGTAAATCGATACGAGGTGCATTGCTTTGGGCACGTGAGAGCGAATAGAATGATAAGAAGGGCGGGACGAATATGTAATGTTAGAGAGATGGCCATTTGATAATCAAGAATGTGATTTTTCTTCCAATCCTTATAATATGAGTCGAAAGAACAATCCTGATTATATTCTAGGCAAAAAGATTATGTTCATGTATCTCACGTGTTTAGTCTTAGATTCAAATATGTTTTCAACAAAAAGAGTACCACAATCATGTATAACATTTTTTTGTTTTCTAAAATAATCAACGTATCACGGTCATGGATATCACATCAAATATTTGGATAACTTTTTAACTATTTTTTATAATTTAGTTTTTATTTTTATTTTTTGTTGATATTTATGATTTAGTTTTCTTATTTGGTTAAGATTTTTTTTTATATACTAACTTTTATGAGTTAGTAGTGTGACTATTGAGTATATAAATAAACCACAAGTCAAATCGAAATTGGACGGCACCGTCAAAGTTCACCCACCGCTGATCAAATCCCCTGCAACCCTCATGAAAACCAAGTCAAATCGAAGTATGAAAAAAAAAAAGGTTATGATCTGATAAAAACGCCCTGACCAAAATTGCCACACAAGGAATTTAGAAAGGCTAAAAAAGCTTTTTGAAACTTACAGCTTTCCCATTCCTCTCGGATAGCAACATATCTTTAAACCCAATCTAATTCATTCTGATAAATTTATATCTTCAAACACAATTTAATTCAACAAAAAGAAGGAACACGATCATGTATCTCATGATTCAATTTTTAATCAACGTATCACGATCATGGATATTGACTCTTTGTGTGATCTTCTTTTTCGTATGGAAGGTTTCTTTCTTGCATGATTCAATATTTTAGGCAAAATGATTACGTTCATGAATCTCACGTGTTTAGTCTAGATTTAAATATGTTTTCAACAAAAACAGTACCACGATTATGTATCAACTTTTGTTTCGTTTTTTTTTTCTTCTATATTTTCCAAGAATAATAATCAGAGTATCGTGATCATTAATATCACATAGGTGTTTTCACTAGATTAAACAAACAATTCTTCCCAAAGATTGCTCTTCACACCTCAACACTTCATGCTAATTAGCTAAGAAAATGTAAAGATCCTTTTGCACCTAAAACTCTAAATGGAATATGTTATTGCATCTTCTATAGGCCCTTTTTTTTTTTGGTTATAAGTTCTTTGTTTCGAACTTATCAACACTCTCTTCATTACTCATATAGTCAATGTGTATGTAAAGTGTTTCAAATAAAGCAAAGATGGCGATTTTCTTTACATCTCCCCTCTTCTTTTTCATCATCCTTTGTTTCTTTATCTCCGTATTTCACTTGTCAGCATCACCAACTCTTGTTCTCAATCTCGTTCACTCCAACCAAATATATTCCCTACAATCACCACAAGTCTCTCATATCAAGGAAGCATCCGTTGAACGTCTAGAGTACTTGAAAGCCAAGGCAACGGGAGATATCATCGCACACCTTTCCCCTAACGTCCCTATCATCCCACAAGCTTTCTTAGTGAACATATCAATAGGTAGCCCACCAGTCACGCAACTTCTCCACATGGACACGGCCAGTGATCTTCTATGGCTACAATGTCGTCCTTGCATCAATTGCTATGCTCAAAGTCTTCCTATCTTCGATCCTTCTAGATCTTATACTCATCGCAACGAATCTTGTAGAACTTCTCAATACTCTATGCCTAGCTTAAGATTCAATGCAAAAACCAGATCTTGCGAGTATTCCATGAGATACATGGATGGTACAGGGAGCAAAGGCATACTAGCTAAAGAAATGCTGATGTTTAATACAATCTACGATGAGTCTTCATCAGCTGCTTTACATGATGTTGTTTTTGGTTGTGGCCATGATAACTACGGTGAACCTCTAGTTGGAACCGGCATTCTCGGTTTAGGATATGGTGAATTCTCGTTGGTTCATAGATTTGGTACAAAATTCTCATACTGCTTTGGAAGCTTAGATGATCCTTCTTATCCTCATAACGTTTTAGTTTTGGGAGATGATGGTGCCAACATTTTGGGAGATACCACACCGTTAGAGATTTACAATGGTTTTTATTACGTTACAATCGAAGCGATCAGCGTGGATGGAATAATTCTCCCGATCGATCCATGGGTATTCAACCGTAATCACCAAACTGGTTTAGGTGGTACAATAATCGACACAGGAAATTCATTAACAAGCCTAGTCGAAGAAGCATACAAGCCATTGAAGAACAAAATTGAAGATTATTTTGAAGGAAGGTTTACGGCCGCGGATGTGAATCAAGATGACATGTTTAAAGTGGAGTGCTACAATGGAAACTTAGAGCGAGATTTGGTCGAGTCCGGATTTCCGATTGTAACGTTTCATTTCTCAGATGGAGCAGAGTTGTCATTGGATGTGAAAAGTGTGTTCATGAAGCTTTCACCAAATGTTTTCTGCTTAGCCGTGACCCCTGGTAATATGAACAGCATTGGTGCGACGGCTCAACAGAGCTATAACATAGGGTATGATCTTGAAGCAAAGAAGATCTCTTTTGAGAGAATTGATTGTGGTGTCCTCTTTGATTACTGATTATAAATTAATATCATCTGTTCAATTAATTATTAGTCTAAATCACGAAAATATAGTGCAAAATCTTATAGATTTAATTTTTCATAACTGTCAATATATATCTACAATAAAGATACTTGATTGCGTGAAAATAAGATACAATTGTTAGTAGTTACATTTTCATTGTTCCTGTGTGGTCATCTCATCTCAAAGAAGAGTTGTTGTAGAATAGGGTTTATTTTTTTGCTTTGTTAAGCAATGAATACAGATCTCAAGAATACACAAAGTTGGGATATACAATCGTATTACTTGGACATGAGTACGATAGTTTCAAAGAAATAATGTAGCAAGAATCATAAGTAAAAAAACTTGGAACAACGTTGAATGAATAATCCAAAAAAAACAATAACAAACGATCATATAGATTTTGAAAACTTAGCAGAACATCTGCCTGCGATGCAAAAGAAAACCCTAAAAGATAAATCGGTAACGAACAAAGATAAACAAAGAAGAAGGAAAAGGACATCAATCCTCCATAGCCATTCGATTCCGAATATGTTTAGACGCTTAGTATGCAAGTAAGCATGGTATGCAGATTTGGCATTCTCATTGATTAGGTCAACATAATATGCTGCTGATTTGGTATTCTCGTCGGTTGGGTCGACATATTCTTCAATTTGGTTATGATTTATTTGGATTTGATCAGCAGTGATGAGTGGGTGAAGATAGCGAGCCTTTGAAGCTCCCACAAAAAGCAAGACGAGGAAGGCGATGATGAAGAAGAAGAAGCTGAGTTTTCCTAATTGAGTGGACATTGTTGGCGATTATTGACTGAATTATTATTTGTATTGATTCTCTCCTTCTTGTTGTCTGTTGCTTTGACTATCTCCTCGTCTTCTTCTCTTCTTGACTGTCTCTTAGTATTCATGTCTTGTACTCTGTATAAATACCTTGCTTCTCATCAATAATAATTATCTCTTTCACAACAATTTATATGGTATCAGAGCAGTGATCTGCTAACCTCAAATTTCCCTCTCTTCAAAAAAAAAAAAAAAAAAAAAAAAAGCTTCCGACGTTTTTTATGGCGTCCCAAACTTCTTCAGCCAACTATGGCTCTGCAATCATCGTCAATCCCAATGACCCACAAAATCCGATTCTCTCCATTAATATGAGTACTGTGACTCGACTCACAGCCTCTAATTACATTACCTGGAGTCTACAAGTTTCTCTGTTTCTCGATGGGCATAGTCTTCTGCAGTTTATCTCTGATGATGCTGTTGTTCCTCCACCTACAGTGCAAAACAATGACCTTACCTCGCCCAATCCTGCTCTTACGGCATGGCAAAAACAAGACAAATTGATCTTCTCGGCTATGCTCGGCACTATCTCCACGCCTCTCCAACCGCTTGTTTCCACAGCAACAACTTCTCTTGAAGCATGGAACTCTCTTCGCTCTACTTTTGGTCGTCCTTCTCGTGGTCATATGAAACAAATCAAGGAACAACTCAAAAAGAGCACCAAGGGACAGCGCTCAATTGATGAATATATGCAATCAGTGAAAACTAAGGCGGATCAACTTACTTTGCTTGGCAAGCCGCTTGATCATGAAGATATCATTGAATACATTCTTGATGGTCTGGATGATGATTATCGTGGTGTGGTGGAGCAGATCAATGGTCGAGATACTCCACCAACGTTTGAAGAATTGCGTGATAAGCTTGTTAATCGCGAAGCTGGTATCCTTTGCTCACAACCCACTCCCGCCTTTCCTATCACTGCAAACGCTGCAACTTACAAACCAAAGTCAAATTTTCGGCCACAACAACAAACTTTTGACAATCGTCAACAATTTCCATCTTTTGGCGCTCGACCACAGTTCAATTCTAGTCCGCCTCGACCCTATTTGGGCAAGTGTCAAGCTTGTGGAGTGCAAGGACATAGCGCTCAACGATGTACTCAATTTCGCATTGTCGCTACTAATTCTTCGCCTTTTCAAGCATCTTCACCAGTTTGGCAGCCTCGTGCTCATGTTGCATCCATGTCTCCAGCGCTCGACACTCCCGCTTGGCTGCTTGATAGTGGAGCCTCTCACCACATTGCATCAGACTTGAGTAATCTCGCTTTACACTCTCCATATCAAGGGAACGAAACTATTACTCTTGGTGATGGCTCCGGACATCCAATTACTCACACTGGTTCCACCTCGCTCTCTTTACCTTCTCGTCCCATTATGTTAAACAATGTGCTTTATGCTCCTAATATTGAGAAGAATTTGATGTCCGTACGTCAAACATGTGCTGACAATGGTGTTTCGATTACCTTTGATCCTTGGTCTTATCAGGTGAAGGATCTAGCAACGGGGGCGCTTCTCAAAACCGGAAGCACTAGAGACGGGATGTATGAGTGGCTGGATTATGTTCCTTCTTCTACCAAAATTCAAGTTCTTTCTACAATAAAAACTTCAATGATCGAGTGGCATTCTCGCCTCGGTCACCCTGCTCTTGATGTTTTACATCGTATTCTATCTCAATGTTCTTTACCTTTTTCAAATAAAATTTCTTCTCCTTTGTTATGCAACTCTTGTTCCATCAATAAAAGTCATAAACTCTCATTTGGAGAAAACACTGTTTCATCTTCTAAGCCTCTTGAAGTAATTTATTCCGATGTTTGGACCTCTCATATTTTCTCTTTTGATGGATACAAGTACTACTTGGTTCTTGTTGATCATTTTACGAGGTACACTTGGTTTTATCCTCTCAAACGCAAATCACAAGTTTTTGAAATTTTCAAATATTTTAAAGAACTTGTCGAAAATCGTTTTCAATCTCGTATTGTCACTTTTTACTCTGATAATGGGGGTGATTTTCAAGCTTTAACTCCTTTTCTATCACAACATGGTATTTCTCATCGCACTTCACCTCCTCATACTCCAGAGCATAATGGGATCTCCGAGCGCAAACATCGCCATATTGTTGAAACGGGCTTAGCCCTTTTAACTCATGCTCATATGCCTCTGGAGTATTGGTCTTTTGCTTTTGCTACAGCTGTGTACTTGATTAATCGGCTTCCTAGCTCTCCTTTGCAATTTCAGGTTCCCTTTGAGCTTCTCTTCCAAGAAAAACCAAATTACTCCAAACTTCGGGTTTTCGGGTGTTTATGTTATCCTTGGCTACGGCCATACTCTGCTCACAAACTTGATTCCAGGTCTTCTCCTTGTGTTTTTGTTGGATATTCTCTCTCTCAAAGTGCCTACCTCTGTTTTGACAGATCCTCTTCTCGTCTTTATTCTTCTCGCCATGTAGAATTTTTTGAAACCTCCTTCCCTTTCAAAGTGCCTAACTCTGTTCCTTCTTGCTCTTCTGCACCTGAACCGGATATCATTCCTCCGGTTTCTCCTCTTCCTCCACCACTCAATCCCGTGGCTGGTGACTTCGGTGTTGATGCATCGCCTGGTAACCTAGATTCTTCATCTCCTCCGGTTATTGATTCATCATCATCGGACACTACCATAGCGATAACTCCTGGATCCTCTGCCTCAAGTACTTCTGTCGAGATTCCAGCGTCTTTTCTTCCAGCTTCAGTTCCGCTACCTACATCTTTGGATCCTCCACCCAATTCTCATCCCATGGTTACACGCTCAAAGAATCAGATCGTGAAGCCTAATCCTCGTTATGCGCTGAATGTTGTCACCACTCTTGACACTAATACTGAACCACGAACACATATCCAAGCTCTCAAAGATCCTCGATGGCGTGGTTCGATGGGTGATGAGATAAATTCTCAAGTGCAAAATAATACGTGGAATCTTGTTCCTCCGAATCCAAGTTACAACCTTGTTGGTTGTCGATGGGTGTTTCGCATTAAAAGGAAAGCTGATGGCTCTGTGGATCGCTTTAAATCTCGATTGGTTGCTAAAGGTTTTCATCAACGTCCGGGTATTGACTACTTTGAAACGTTCAGTCCCGTTGTGAAGCAACCAACCATTCGCTTGGTGCTTGGTCAGGCTGTGTCTCGCGGATGGGTTCTTCGACAACTTGATGTGAATAATGCTTTTTTGCAGGGTGAACTCTCTGAAGATGTGTATATGGCTCAGCCGCCTGGTTTTATTGATGAAGATCGACCGGATTTTGTCTGTAAACTAAACAAAGCAATCTATGGGCTCAAGCAAGCGCCGCGAGCTTGGTACAATGCGCTTCGAACCTTCTTGGTTGATTGTGGTTTTTACAATTCGGTGGCTGACACTTCTCTTTTTGTTCTCCACAAACTGGGCATCTACTTGTTTGTGTTAGTTTATGTTGATGACATTGTTGTCACTGGTAATTCTGCATCTCATGTTCAAGCCTTTATTGATCTACTAGCAGCTCGTTTCTCGATCAAAGACATGGGTGAATTGAGTTATTTTCTGGGAATTGAAGTCACACGCACAGAGGCTGGTCTTACTCTTACTCAAACCAAGTACATTAACGATCTTCTACATCGCACCAATATGATCTCCGCAAAACCAGTGTCAACTCCGATGGAAGAAAATCTATGTCTCTCTGCTTCTACGGGTCCTCTCCTTGATGATCCCGCTGAGTATCGTTCTGTCATTGTAGCCTTCAATACCTACAATTTACTCGTCCAGATATTTCTTTCGCTGTCAACAGGCTCTCTCAATATATGCATCAGCCTCGCCTTGATCACTGGCTCGCGGCTAAACGTATCTTACGGTATCTTAGTGGAACCAAGTCTACGGGTCTGTTCTTCTCTGCTTCGAGTCCCTTGACTGTTCATGCTTTCTCTGACGCGGATTGGGCTGGCGACAAAGACAACTACTCTTCTACTGGTGCGTATCTTGTCTATGTTGGTCAGCATCTTGTTGCGTGGTCCTCAAAGAAACAGAAGACAGTGGCTCGTTCGTCGACTGAAGCTGAGTACAAATCTGTTGCTAACACTGCTTCTGAAGTTTTATGGGTTGTTTCTTTGCTTGCTGAGCTCGGTTTACCTCCATCTGGATCTCCTGTTATTTATTGTGATAATATGGGGGCAACGTATCTGAGTTCTAATCCTGTTTTTCATTCTCGAATGAAACATGTTGCGGTCGACTTTCATTTCGTTCGTGACTTGGTGCAATCTGGATCTCTGCGGGTTACTCATGTTTCTTCTCATGATCAGCTTGCGGATGCCCTCACAAAGCCTTTATCCCGTTCCAAATTTTCTGCATTCTGTCACAAGCTTGGTCTCGCTTCTCTCCGTCCAGCTTGAGGGGACGTATTGACTGAATTATTATTTGTATTGATTCTCTCCTTCTTGTTGTCAGTTGCTTTGACTATCTCCTCGTCTTCTTCTCTTCTTGACTGTCTCTTAGTATTCATGTCTTGTACTCTGTATAAATACCTTGCTTCTCATCAATAATAATTATCTCTTTCACAACAATTTATAAGGTTAATTAGGGCTTCATTTTGTTTATTTATATTGTCTTGTAATTTTATTTTCTTGTTAGGAAACATATTAGATTTCATATGGAAGAGGTCTTGTAAGATTTTAATATGGAATGCGCAAATTAATATTAGATTTCATATGGAAGAGGTCTATAGGATTGTATGTGTAGAATAAGAGCCAAGGCACACATGGCTTGGACTGGTCGATTATTTCAAGGAAATTATGTAGCCAAAAAAGCTTGGTCTAATGTTGATTGAATAATCCTATAGACAATAACGAAACGATCTTGTTGAATACATAGCAGAACATCTTGTTGCAATAAAAAAGAAATTAAAAGACTGAAAGATGACTTGGTCATGATTAATTTGGAATTGTTCACCAATGATGATGAGTGGCCAAAGATTGCGAGCCTCAACGAAGCAAGACGAGGAAGAAGCTGATTTTTTCCGAATCGAAAAATTGCTAGAGTCTTGGAGCAACATTGATTTGAATAATCAAAGAAAAAGAACAAGAAAATAACAATCTCGACATCAACGACGAACACAATGTTTAGTCTGTCTGAATAATATTTAGGATGTTTGTGGTCAAAAACCAAAGAACATATATATGTGCAAAGAAACTCTATAAACCTGTATAATTTGTTTGTTTAACATTCTGAACACACAACAAAATCGATCCCAAAAAAAAAAAAAAAACCGGTCTAAAATTCTCCTTTTCACAACAGTAACGTAACAATGAGATATAGCCAAAAAAACAGAGTAGATAAAAATAAAACCAACGTCTCCTTCCAACCAAATGAAGCCTAAACTGAGTATAAATCTTATACCTCCTTAAGCTTCTATACTTGTGGTGTTACAGCTTCAAAGGTGATTTTGATTCATATGGGTTGGGAAGACGAACATTGGTCAAAGAATCTGAGTGTGTAGAAGAAAACTACCCTTTTAATCACAAATTCCAAGTGACTGATCTTGTGTAATTTGAGAAGAGATCCAACAGTTTATCGAGTGTATCCGGGTGAAATTTTCTTCCAAACAAGTAGCACGGTCTTTTGATTCCGTTCCACATACAAGGCATCCATATTTCTTCACCCTGTGTTATCCAAATGAAAGGTATTGTTTTATATAAAATCCAGACAAAAGATCAGAGCTAAAATACAGTGGAAAAACTGGTTTTGTAAGCGCGTACCACCCCAACACTTGTGACATGTACGAGTGTGTCAGTAGACTGCAGAGATATAAATCATTGGTTTAGTTTTCTTAGTTGAAGCAATGGAAGAAACTGATGCAAAAGATGGTTTAGTGTTTGGTTATATATTGATATACCGTGAGGTTGTTTAGTAACTCGGGTGTGATATCCTCAGGCATATACGTTTTGGGATGCCACTTTCTCTCAGACCAATCAACTTGTGTTACAGTCCAGTTAGAAATACCACCGGGATCGAGCATCTGCAACCGAAATATATAAGAGATGAAGATAAAAAAAAATGCAGAGATTTTTTTCATTTCTTCTTGAGTTGAGAAGAGTACTTACATGAAAGAATGTTGGCAGATAGTGTTCATCAGCTATGCAGTTCTTGTTGTTTTCTATACCTGGCTGAAGAAACAAAATGCAGGCTTTTACTGGATGATTTATTTCAATAGATGCTGTGCCTTTGTAAGAAAGAAAAAAGGAAGGTAGATAACATCTAGTTTAGGAGTTTTGCTGATACTCACCCCGCAGTAATCCCGAAATTTAGAGTAGTAAAGACTATCTGCCATAGTTGCTACAGCGTGTTGTCGCTTCATGGTGAACCACTGCATGAAGGAGTAATTTGGGGTTCATATGTATATTTCGATTCATAAAATGGCAGACAGTTGTTGGTCTATTACTAGTTCATAAAGGATCTACTTGAGACTTCTGCCATGTAAATAGATACCAACACTGAAACAGAGCCAATTTTCCCAAGTGAGTATAGTTACTAGATCAATGAAAATTGTTTACCTGTGCACCCTTTCGAAAATCTTTCTTTGGGATTTCAGGCAACATGTGATTCATATGCCTGCCTGCTCCATGTTGACCTGGATCGTCAAAGCTGAGGAGTCGAAGGTAAATCAATTTGTAAGAGTTAAAGAAGTTGGGAAGAAGAGTGAAAAAGGTCTAATCTGATGAAACATGACTATTACCAGTCAACATAGCTGAGATTGCTGTGCATCAGGTAATTGTAAATGTATTCAAAACTTCGAAGTGGTACACAACTGCAAAACAAGAAACACTCAAAATGTTTTAGGCAAATTTAGAGTGATCAATGAGAAAGCAAGAAATCAAGAAAATCACCTATCAGAGAGTAAAACAAATTGTTGGTTTGAAGTGTCTCTGAGAGCATTAGCTAACAACCGTCTCTCTGCGTCAACCATTGATATCCTTCCCCACACCACCTACAGAAGAAAAGTAATACACATTTTTATTTCAAGTAATTGGATGGTAGAAGAATATGAAATCTTCAAAAATAGGCATCAGAGAAGGAGACAAACCTCATCACTACGAATTTCGCGGTTGACAAAGTAACGACTGTAGTGAACTGGCCTTTCCTTTGATGCATGTATATAAACAGAGAATTTCCCTTCATGGCCCTGTTAAGAGTGACAAAAAATCTAAAAACATCAGCCAAGGAATGAAGTTCAAGAACAAACTTTGTTGCAAGTTCTATAAGGAGGCCTATTCAAGTAAAATGCTGCTGGCTACAAATTGGTAACTTCCTTAAACAAAGGCACAATTTCTGAAGAATAAAGCAAGTCATAAGAAGAAAAGTTTACCTGGAAAAATCTGTCCCAAAGCCTCTCGAAAGGTAATGTACCGGGAGTTAAAAACATGAATGCAACTTTAGAATTCTTTCTAATGACAGGAGATGAACTCAATATTTCTCTAATGACTACGCGAGCTGCAATCTCATCATCTGAAAATTCCCTCAGAGAAGGTGGAAGCCAATCAGCTAAAGCTTTGCATCCTCTTGATGAAATCATATAACAAGCCCTTTTACTATGATGAGGGTACATGTAAGCCGTAATAAAGAACATGCTGATCAGTGAAAGCACCATGATGATCCATACTCGTCGTCTTGCGGGGGGAGCACGGTGTCGAGCTCCAGGAAAAGACACGGGAATATCGCCTAAGTTCCCTATACTCCATCTTTTAACTGCCTTCATCTCATCAAAACCTTTATTCGCAGAGCCACAACAACACCTCAATAGCCTAATCTAGGTGAACAAAAGCTAACTTCGTCTGGTGAATTAGAATCAATCAAAACCTGGAACAAGTTACAGAAATAGAAACAAGAATGAATGTTCAATCCAAGAATGAAATTTTGAAGATTTAGTCCAACAACTAAATTCTAGCTCTCCACGAAACCGAGGAAAAGTCAAACCAGCTTCACAGGTCCTAAAGCCAATTCGAAAGAAACGTTACAGTGTTTCCACGCAATTATTCGGGATTTGAAACCATTTTCTCGGAAAATCATCAGATTTCCCGGAAAATACCAGAGCAGAACGAGATCAAACGAAACGAAATCGAGACATTCCAGCTCCGTTCAGTTTCAATTTCGATTATCGGAAACACATTCCAATCTCTTCCTAACTAATCGCATTCGCATTCGCATCGCCCAAACAAAACAAATTACAAAATCGGAATCAACGAGAAACAATGTGAAAGAATTGGAACCTGAAATTTACAACGGAACCAGATCCAAGCACAAGGCAAGAGCCAAGAGAGTCTCCCGAATCGTCGTGGTGCTAGATTTCTATATCTTCTTCGTTTTCCCTCCGGTCAAAGATCTCGGGAAAATTCAAACTCTCAAAGAGCTATAGCTACACAAAACAAACGTATATCTATATATGTGCATGTATAACGTCTCTTTGTCAGTTTTAAGATTTTCTTTCTGTTATATTTTTCCTCTCACGGATTCGTTTCGTTTTTCTCTCTGATCTCTCTCTCTCTCGCTATGAAATTGAAGAAATGCTTGTGAAAGGAGCTACAGATAAATTGATGACGATGATGAAGATGAAGACGAAGATGCCACCAATTGGGTTCGAAACAGAGGAAGCAAATTTTTTGAGGCAGAGATTAATATTACATTGGCGGATTATTTATGAAAATTATTAAACCTTAAGATATGACGTGTAATTTTGCTACTGGCCAGATTAAGAGCGCGTGTCTTTCTTTTCCCATAATATATTTTGGACGATAGTGGTTTCATTACAAGGTTAAGTAAATTAACAACGGTTATAAAATAACAGTACAGTAAAATTCGATATTAAGATAAATTTAATAGTTTAATCATATTATGAGTAACAATGTATTTATGATATGGATTTAAATGTGTGTTTAGATTTGTTGCGAGTGTAATAATAATTAAAATATGCTATCAAAAACTTTAGATTAAAATCTGCATCTACCAGTAGCACGTTTATAAAACTATCTCATCCCATGCAATGTCCTCCTGGCCTACCTTGGATTTATTTGGTTGGATATAATTTATTAATATGGTCCGTTGAATCTGAGAGACTGAGACCAGGTACTCAAAAGACGATTTTACCCTTTGTTACTCAATCAAGTCGCTGGCCAAGTTTAGTCTTCGTTGGCCAAGTTTAGCATTCTTATATATTTTATATAAGAAATATATGTAAACCATAATAATTATAAAGAAATCTATTTGGAAATGGAAGGAATGTAAGAAAAACTATCGAAATGAAAAAGAAAAATTATGCTAATTGGTCCCATCGATCAAAATTAAGTATCTACGTACGTTTAGATCATACAAATAAGTATATATTATATATATATAGACAATTTCAAAATTTGTATAAGAGACCCAGTTGATGATATATCCTAATGGATCTATATACTTGAACAGTTTTGTAGGCATAATTCATCCACTTGGATCATTATTTGTGTTATTTTAATGTCGATAGTTGGAGGAACCTTCTCCGCCAGACCGATTCAAGATAGTAAACTCTGGTTTTATGTATATTATAAAGAACATTGTATGAAAATTGAGCAACTTGACATAAACTTCATGTGATCTTAGCCAGACATTCACGATGTCCACACAGAGCCGGCTCTTTAAGATATTAAGGCCACAAGCCCATTTTTTTTTTTGCCTACTATACATTACTTTTTTTGAAAAAGACTTGAAAAACAGGAAAAAAAATGAAATGGGGATTCGATCCCTTGACCCTTGGAAGAGTAACTCTTAGTCTTAACCAGTGGAACCAATGAAACTTTCAGAAAAAAGCGGCCGAATATCAACTATATAATTTGGAGGCCACAAGCAGATGCTTCATCTGCCTGTGTCAAGGGCCGGCTCTGTGTCCACATCATTATTCTATTGTTCAAACAAATGATCAACGTTGTCGTCTGAGTCCATGCATTTTGCATGCACCTCACTTCCCTTTAATCTACCCCTAATTAAGTATATTTCCCTTCTCGCTAATAATTGAGTTTTCAGTTGCTAGAAGACTAGAAGTCTAGAACTAACTTTCAATTTTAATTACTAGTTAGAACCACTAAAAAACTTAGTATGTTGTCACTGATGGTTTTACCTTTCTCTTGGTTAAAAGTAAAAAAGGTTCGATGTTTATACATATATTTACCAAAAAATGGTCGTTCTATATCGAACAAAAAATAATACAGTTATGTTTAGAGACTTTTTGTTTCCGATTAAGTTAAAGTGTCCTGCTGGGCCAACTATTGAATGTACATCTTTTTCTTAAAAAAAAAAAAAAAAAACTATTGAGTGGACATGAAGACCAAGTCAGTCTGTTTTAATATTTCAAGCTCTCTCTAGAGATATTGTTGATTAATCGTTATTCAAGCTGTTTTTCTTTTTTCAAAATTTCTCTTCTACCTTTTTCTGTTGTTGTTAAAGAGTACTCTTTTACCTTACATAAACTAAATCAATAGTAGAAGAAAATTATTATGTAGATGGACTTATGTCATTTTTATAATGGCATTTATGGATTTTGCTCTTTTTTGAATAATTTATGGATTTTGCCCTTTTTAACACTTAAAAATGTACGTATTTATGATTTTTTTTTGCAAAAATACGTACATTATACCAAATACTAAACCCTAAGAACAACTGGAACCGACTAAACCCAAACATAACGAATGAAACGCATGTTAAATCATATTTTTGGAGCCTAAAAAAGGGCAAAATCCATAAATTATTCAAAAAATGGCAAAATCCATAAATGCCATTATAAAAAATGGCAAAATCCGTAATTAATTCTATGTAGAATAATAAAGTCATGAAGTATTAAATTAAATTAAATTAGTTGACAAAAAAGTATTAAATTAAATCAAAAGGAAAAGAAAATGAGTAGAAAAGACCATAAATAATAATTGAGCCTTTAATTTGAAGATAAGGGTGTTTGAAAAAAAAAAGTGAAAAACAAATACTATTCTATTATTATATATTTACTGTCTAGATTAAAGTTCAATGAAAGTTGTTTTTGAGATTTCACTTTAAGCAGAGAAAATTATTGATTTTTTTTTGTTTTTGTTTTGTGTCTTTCTTATTCGAATATCAAAGTCGATAAAGAAAACATAACCATATGTAACATATTTAAATTTTGGGAAACACTGGAAAGTTACTTTTTTATTAAATTAAATGATTATTAAAATTAAAACCTGAGTCATTACTTACAATATATATATAGACAATAGATGTCGATATACATATAATTATCTCAAACAAAACGACTTGTGAAAGAAAGAAAAAAATATGGAGAAGGCATCTCCACTTATAGTTTTATTCATCTTCTTTATCATCCTTGCTTACGGTATTATATATTTCTTTAATCTTAAGTAACTAGCTTGTGATTTTTTTTTTTTTTTTGCATTTATCTTGTAACTACTATTCGTGTATGTTCAAAGCTTATATGCAGTTACAAAGGCTATTATTATGTATACACATTTATATATAGGTGCAAATGAGGTGATGGCAAATATTTGTCAGGAATCTCTAGGTGGTTGTGATCAATGTAATGAGAGATGCAAGGCTAAGCGCGGACCAAAGTCCGAAGGTGATTGTCAAAGCCGGATATATAACTTATGCATGTGCAATTACCAATGTGGACCGCCGCCGCCACCACCAGAACCCAAAGTTTGCTACGGCGGGGCTGGCCTGTGTAGCCAAAAATGTTCGAACAATTGTTGCAACCAAATTTGTGCAAATAAGTATTCGCGTGGAAATGGATTTTGTGAGAAGATTGGCTCTATTAATCTCTGCAAATGTCAATATCCTTGTTAGAACTGTAAAACTTGGTCAAAAATTTTTAAAGTAAAATATGGTCAAATATTTTTGAAAGAAAAATGAACGTAGATGTAATAATTATATTATTATTATCGTTATGAAAAATAAATAGATTATTATTAAAAAAAATTGGCAACCTCTTAATTCCATCTTATGTCCGCGTAATCTCTTTGGAATAAATGACCATGTAATTTCCTCAAATTACTCAAACATGTATGGTTAAAATGTGGCTTTTACTTTTGTGATATTCAAAAACGCTAGGACAATATATTACAATATGATTCGAAGACAACAAACCCCATTTTTAGACTGATCCTGAAAGTATATTTACTGTCCATCACAATCTTAGTGATAAAAATTATAACAGAAAATTCAAAATTCTAATAACCCATAATAAAGTAATATTCTTTACTTAAATGTCTTAATTAACCGTTGATCTTAAAATATTTTTAATTGACCATAGCATTTGTTTCCATAAAAATTGATACGATTGCCATAAAAATTGATACGATTTCGTAAGTTTGAAAAATGAGAGCACTGATTAAGTCCAAAAATGTGTTAATAATATTTTATTTTCATATCAATTTCATAATCAGTGCTCTCTTTTTCGTTTTCCAACTTAGGAAATCATATCTTTTAGTTTTATTTTGAGATCTTCGGTTCGTCTATAAATAGATCAACTAAAATGTCCCAGTAACAACATATTAACAACTATCTCAAAGGCAAAACTTAAGAGAACAAAAAAAAGAAGAAAAACACACTTTAAAACATGGAGAGGAAAACTTTGCTTGCATTCTTCGTTAGCTTTCTTATTATGTGTGCTTCAGGTTCAGGTATAATATGATACTATAACTTTAAATATTTTATTTATTTTACTTATTAATAATTGAATTTTTTGATGAAATTAAATTATATCGTATGATCAGTTGTGGATCAGACGAACGCAAATACGAACAAACTTTGCGAAGGTGGGGTTGGTCTATGCACTCCAGAATGTGCGGAGAGCTGTTGTGACTTCAACTGCTCAAAGAAGTATAATGGTGGACATGGAAGTTGTACCTCTGTTGGTAACATTCGTCTGTGCCAATGCGAATATTCTTGTTAGAGTCGCTTATTAATGGTTTTGGCCTTTTGGGACTCTAAACCAGCTAGTTTTTTTAATAATAATAATTGTTTTGATAACTATAAAATGAAACAAGATCAGAAAATGTGGTTTGTGGCTTATGTGGAGCTGTGAGATTCTTTTAAAATTGTGCATTTTTGAGCTTTCTAGTTCGATTCCTATTTGAACTCGTTAACTTTTAAAAGAAAAAATTTAAACTGAATCGAATTGGTATAATTTTATAAAGAAAACCAAAGAGATAAAATTGGATATATGTTTCTTATATCATAAAATAACATTATAAGTAGAACAAGAATTTCGTAAACGTGGAAAAACTACTACCCAAATTTTCTCCAAACTAATTACAATTATAAAACTTATACTACAAAATAGTGTTTGACCAAAAACAAAAAAAAAGTGTTAGCTACTAGATTTGAACCCGCGGTGTACCGCGGGGCTATATTTTTTTATAAAAAAAATTAGTTTATTTTTTTAGGTAAACTCTATGTTGGATTATAACATTTTTGTTGTATTTGATGAATGTTGTTTAATGTAGATTTTGCATATAGATATATTTTTATTGTTATTATATTTTTATATTTATAAATGTAAAACTTTGCAAGTGACCGAAAATTAGAATCTGATTTTTGGTCACATGGAATGACCACGATCCCTGTTTGGAATGACATATTGTAGAGATGTGTAGTAGGTCTGAATTGACGACTCACATAGTTGAGTTGAAAATTTTCAATGAACATCCAATCACCAACAGAGATTTGATTAGCATACTTGCTCACCAAGTCATTCTTTACTGAGGCATGCATTTTCTTTCCCTGCAATGATAGGTCAATACATGTATTAGTAGATTAGAGGAGAACGATTTAACTCAATACTAAAAAATATTGATAATTAATAAGAAGTGTACCATTTCGTCTGACAAAACAATCTCAAGAGTTTCACAAGTGCTTTGCATGTATTGACGTCATGAATGCAAGATCTTCACTTGAACCCTCCAAGATGTCTTGTAAGATCGAACGTCTTTGAGAAAAGCAAAAGTCGCAGCCATTTGGTAGAGAAGTAAGGTATGCTAAATACTGTAAAATGTTTGGAAGCTGTGGTGTTTTGGTGATGGTAATTTGGGTTTCTTTGCTTAGTATTTATAGAAAATGATATAGTGGGTGTCGTTAGGTCGTAATTAGTAGATGAAAATATTCATAGCCGCAAGATTTTAGGAAGACAATATTTGATATTGTGATGTGATTGGAATATGCTATGATTTTATGCATTTATTTATGTTTTAATACGTATCTATAATTGGTTTTTAATGATTTTGTATAGAAGAAAGAAGTATTCGAAATTGGCAGGATAAGGTTTAAATGAAGAAAAGAATCTGATTTTTTAATTCAAGATACCCGAATTGATATAATTGTCTTGTTAATATGGAGAGATTTTAGGAAAATAAAATCATTGTTTTAAATTAATACAATCAAAAGTTTGGGAAGTTTTTCCCACGTGTAATCTTTTATTCTATAACTATACATAATGCGAATAATAAGCAATAATAATAGCATACATTTAATATTTTACTTGGAGAGCCGTAACTAATTTTTTGATTTTAATTGTCTTGTTGTAGATATGAGAAGTAGGATTTTCGGAAATGTTAAGTTGGTACTAATTAAATGAGATTTGAGATCTCTGATAGGATATTTTTAAAAATATTTCGAGTTAATGTGGAGAGATTTATCCATAATTGGTTAGTAACTAATTTTTTAAATTTTAAAGAATATATCAAGATTTTGGGAAGTTTGTTAGACGTGTATCTATATTTACATTTATAACTTCCTATTTAATTTAAAATATATATTTAATTTAAAACGTGTAATCAATAATAACAACTATTTAATATCTTTTTATTTGTGCAGATTTATAGGAAGATCCGAATACCTAATTTCGGGTCAGGAAAAATAACAAAACCCGACCCGCCAGTGGCATTCATCCGTAAATACTATTAAACTTCAGGATTTATTTGCTAAAAGTCATCCAAAAATGTATATATAGATACTCGTAACTTTGTCATTGAGGAACATATTTTTCTATCACAACTTTTCTTTACTCTATCGCAAATTTTGTGAACGAAAAAAATCAAGAAGAAAGAACAAGAATCAAGGCGACGTATCTAATGAAATTGCTGTTAATTTGGAGGACGATTACGAAGAGGAAAAATTAGCATATTTAATGTTCTATAAATTAAAGTATTGGTCAAGTCAAGTCCTGGTTAAGTACTGAAAATTATGAAGAGTAGCTTATCGAAAGGAAGCGTTGTGTGAAGTCACTTTTTCAGTATTATCGGTCTTTGCAAACAATTTTTAACTCTATTATAGATAATTGAGATTAGGGTTGGGCATTCGGGTATGCGGGTCGGGTTCGGGTAAAACCCGATCGGGTACGGGTCTTTCGGGTAGAGGAGTTTAG